AATGACTGTAATACAGTCAGAGGACAATGAACTGAGGGCATGACTGTGATGCTACCTGAGAAGGCAAGACACTAGGTGACTTCACAAGTAGTAGGGAAATGTGGTTTCCATCATCAGGAAAGACTGAGCAACAGGAATGACTGAGTCATAAAATTGAGGAGTGTTTTTAAACAAAATCCAAAGGATCTTTACCAATTTGGCAGTAGCTCAACAATTCTCAAGTAAGAGGAATGCATATAGTTATGCGCTCCAAAGAAAGGCTGAGGTGGACTACTGGTATCTTAAGTGGATCACACTTACCGCATAAGTGCTATTACTGACCATGGCATACTATTATCAAGACTAACTCCCGGGATGTTTCTAGATTTGAGTGTCCTCTTTCTTTTAGTTAAAGTGGTGTTAGAGAATTTCAGTCCATTTTGATTTCTTTAAAGGGGGAAGAAAAAGTCTGGGATTTGTTTTGAAAAAAGTAAAAAATTGTGTGGGGAAATACAACCCAGGTTTTAAATGTCTGCTGTGCAGTGTACTAGTCACAAGCAACATGTGATTACCTAAATGAAAGTTAGTAAAAGTCAAACACAATTAAGATTTAATTCCATGGAGAGAACAGAAAAGAAAAGGAAAATAAGCGAGAAAGAGACAACGTTTGAAAGACAAACAATCATTCTTTGTCTTTATGTTCAATGAACTGTCAACATAGAAAGTTCAAGAGAATCAATAGAAGATGCATTGGAAATAAAAGAACATGTAGTTCATTATCTTTAACTCAAAAATATGTGTTCCCGGTTATAGAAGGGTGTTTCAAAAACTAAATATTAGGCACCAGTTAATATAAAACCTCTTACTGAGAGAATGTTAGATGCTAACAAACTAAATAGAAGGGAAGGCATGTTTTCCTTAATTTAGCTATAAATTCTGAGCAGTGTTAGTGAAAAGTACAAGAGAATGTTTCACAGAACTTGAAAACTTGATGCACATATAAGGAAAAGAAGAGGATGCCGTACAAGTAAGATATGAATGATGAAAATCAGCAAGAAAGGAATAAGGAAAATGAACAAGAAAGGAATTATTTGGGTTAATATGAAAACATCTAATCCTATGTAAGCTCTAAAAGTCAACTGTACTTTTAACGGCCAACACCAATAAATAGTTTACATGGACTACAAAGCCTAGAAGTGCACGTGTTTATATAGGAATTTGATAAATTAACTTTATAGTATCAAGGTCAGCGGGAAAGTTGGTCTTTTCACCAAGAAATTAGTTCTCCACATAAAATGAAAATGACTCTCCCTACATTCCAAACTAAACTCCAAAGTCACTGCCATCAAGTTGAATTCAACTCACAGTTACCCCTCCTTGGGTTTCTCAGGCAGTATCACTATGGAAGTAGACTGCCCTATCATCCTTCCCAGGAGTGGTATCGTCCTTCCCAGGAGTGGTAGTGGGTTTGAACCGCCAGCCTTCTGCTTAGCAGTCAAGTGCCTTAGGTGCTGTGCCACATGAGCACTATTTATTTATTTTTCATAAAAAGTAGCTAGCATGATCACATATCCAAATGTGAAAAGCATAAGTTTAAAACGTTTAGGAAACTATGTGTCACTTTGATTTCAGGATAGGAAAATAATGATCAAAACCAACACAAGAAAGAAACAAAATTGTTTCTTAGAACTTTTGATGCCTCATAAAAAGATAAGAGACAAAATAGGTAGAGGTGGGGCAAGATGGCGGACTAGGCAGAAGGATTGCACAGACCCTCTTCAACAAAGAAAAGGGAAACCAATTAACACAGACACAGAAGATAATCT